TTAATTCTGGTGCAGACACGCCTGGTGCTTTGGGAACAGAAAGGGAATAAAGGATGTGACCCTTGCAATGTCTTCATAATGCAACCAGGGAACAATGGCTTCAAATGTCAGGGCAAGGCAGATTTAAGTTACAGGCAATCACAGCTCCAGGGGAGACTCGTTCTAATTAAAAGTCGGACTTCTCTCTGGAGCAGTTGCCCTCATTGCTTCACTCACCAGCACTCACTATAGTGCTTCGATAGCATGGGTACAGGGTCACCACGAACACATAAGACTCAGACGCTCTAGATCCACGCTGAGAGCAGGACAGCTCCACGACAGTCACCGACTGCTACACCTCCAGGACTCACGGTGGCCTTCAGAGCAGGACTGCCTTCTCCGTGAATTGTCCCAACCAGCGGCTGGACGTGGGGGAGGTGGCAGAGCTGGCCGTGTACACACAAGGCCATGCTCCTCTAACAGGTGGTCTTCGCTCCAGGACCCTCCACTGGTCTGTGCTTTCTTCTTGCATGCGGTGTAAGGCTTTTCATATCCAGTGCTTCTTCCCTACCACCGTCCACACAAGATGCTGGACACATCGTGGGCTCTTCTCACCCATGCCTGTTCCTTCTCCATTTTATGCCCAGATACCTTGTACTGGGCCAGGCAGCTTTCCTGTTGCTAGAATAAAATGCCTGATACTCATACCTTAGAGGAGGAGAGACTTAATTTGACTTATGGTTTGGAAGATGTAGTCCAAGTCAGGAGCATCATGGCAGAGGATGGAATAGGGAAAAGCTGCCTGACCATGGCAGCCAGGAAACAGAAGGAGAAGGGAGGAGCTGGGGATGAAAATACACCTTCAGGTGAAAATACTGCCTTCAGGCCACACTTCCAACGAGGCCCCACTGCCTAACAGCACATTCTGCTGAACTCAGTGGATTAATCCACTGATGAGCACTGACCCCGCGATTCAATCACCATCCAAACCCACCTGCAAACAGGGCAGACTGCATTTGGGTCTAAAGCATAACATGGCCTCTCTCCCGGTCAACCTCCTGCACATATAATAATGTCTTGGTTTGTGGATTCTGTGTAATTATTTGCTTACACACACATGACAAAAGTCACTAAACTCTCATAAAACCAAAAATGACAAAATGTTAAATTTTAAGGATTACACAGAAATATTCCTCTTTCCAGACTTTGCTATCATCCTTTTTTTGCCATTAGCTTTTTCCTCTCCTTCTTCTGACTTCTTTCCCAAAGGCTGTCTGGATTTTTATGATGGCAGATGAGGAAAAAAATGAAGTTTGGATGACTTTTCTAGCAATATTTACAAGAAATGTACAGAGAGTTGAGCAAAAGCCAGACAGCAGGATCACTGACTGTTATATAATAGAAATCATTCTTCTGGGCCCTGAGAAAGGGGAGGCAGGGATGGTGAGGCTGCCCTAGGACAGAGAGCATGGCAAGGTGGCCAAGTGTGGGAAACCCTTCTGTCACCAATGAAGAGCAGTGGCTCCAAGCATCAGTGTCAGCTCCTGGCTCAGACTCCTGGGACTAGAGAACCTTTGATATTTACAGGAATTGGATTCATATTTCATTTTGTTAGGAGGGAGAGGAAAAGTACAATAAGTAAAGCTCAAGGAGCTTAGGTTTGAAGGCTCCTGGGTATTGTCCTCTTCCGGTTCTTCAAGAGGAAGTCAGCAACTGGGCAATGACAAATCCTTTCTAAAAAAAGATTCTAAACATTGTTTTGTCAAATTTCTTTTTACTGCTCCCAAGAAATGGGTCAGCAGAAACTATAAAAAAGAAAGGGATAATAGAGTCGGGGATTTAGCTCAGTGGTGTCACTAGACTTGCAAGCACAAGGATCCAAGTTCAATCCTTGGTACAAAAAAAAAAAAGTAAAAAAGGGATAGCAGATTCAAATGTCAGTGTCTCCCTGCAGTCCACTGTTATAGATTACGAAAGCAAATTATATGGCAACTACTTTCAGTAAACTAAGCACAAAAAGAGAGTCAAGAAGAAAAACCAAGTAGGAAGACAAGAGCTCACACGCTTCTGGTTGGAGGAAGATCAGGGGCAGAGGAAGACGGAGCGTTAGCGAGGTATGGCTCTCTTCAGACGGGCAGGGACAGCCACTCCTGGAGTGAGCGTCTCAGAAACCCGGCTGTCCAGGGGTGGCTGTGGCATACACAGCAGCAATGGCAACCCCAGTATCTGGCCAGCTGTGCTGCCCAGGTCCGGCCTGTGTGCCAGGCCAGCTCTTGCTCCCCTGAGTGAGTCAGGCCACGGCCCCAGCTGAGTGAGCTGACTGCTGGCCACGCCGTGGGCTCCGAGGAAAACACCCTCGGTCCTCCCCACACGCCACTTCCTGGGGCGACTCGGGCTGCAGCCCGGCTGCGGCCAGGAACCAGGTCCTCCTGCCCCAGCCGGTGGCCTTCGGACTGTCCCTGGGGCATCCAGGTTAGGGAGAGGGGAGGTCATGTGTGAACCCAGGACGCAGGGTGACAGGCGTGAAGGAGGTGGCAGAGCTGGGGGTGGAGACAGCACCGGGCTGGTCACACGAGGATGAAGGCAGCACGGATTCGCAAGGAGAGAGCCTTTGCCAGGTGACAGACCATGACATAAGCAGAGCTCACCCGGTTCCCAACAGCAGACCCCGCGTCCCGCTGCAGCGTCAGACCTGACCTCACTCTCGCCTGCTCCCTCTCCTCTCCTTTCCTCACAGTCTCCCGCTTTGGGGTGCACTGCGGAGTCCAGGCAATACCTCGCTCCGTTGGTGCTGAAATCGTCATCCCTGTCCCACTATCCCGACTCTAAATCCCCAGAAAGCCCTTACATAGGAAGTTTCTGGAAAAAGCGTGATGGAAAAGGGTCTGCTGAAAATGCCGAAATGGCCCATTTCGGCGGGAAGTTCACACAGCGGGCACTTAACCAAAATGGACGTAGATGAATTCAGTTGCTTTGCCAGGGATAAAAGTCCATATTCACACACGAGTTAGGGGACTGAGTTGTTCTGACATCTGAGATGCTACCTGGGGGAGATGCAGAGCAGGTAACTACGCAGGTAAACCTTCAGGATGGGGACAGCGTCACCGCACCTCCGCGTGACTACAGCGGAATTGTCTAAGACGATCACCTACTCCTGTCAAGTGGGCATTTTCGGGAGGTTTACAGACACAGTGTGAGCAAATGGAGAAAATACTCATTTCCTGAATCTTCTGTGGATAAGTCAGAATGATTGTTCAGCAATCTGGCTTTCAACACTTATTCAAATCATGTTGTTATTACAGTAGGAATATAGGTGAGTGTTTGCATATTTAAAGGATATTGATGTTACAAACTTAAGTGGAGTTACCACTTAGTCACTCCTACTTGGGAAAATTAAAACATTTTGGGACCTTTAAACAGGGAACTTCAAATCTTGCAAATGTTTGTTTTACTTAATATAAGTATCCTAGAAGGGGAAAGAAAAGGAAAGGAAACGGGATTTTAAAGAGAATTGAAGAAAAAATGGAAATAGAGTTTTTTTCAAATGGGAAGGGGGTCAGCAGGAGGAGGTGGAGAGGGAGACGAGAGGTAACATGTGTTATGGATACGTACGAGCTCCCCACAATGCAATGCACATGTGGACTAATGAAAGTTAATTAAAGAAATAAGTAGCATAGGTATACTTTTAAAAGACGCAGGTTTAACTAAAAAGTAAGCATTCAATAAATGTATTTTCTTGAATCTAGGTTACCCTCATGCAATACATACATCTTAAGCATCTTGTGCAAGGTAGTAAGTAAAAAAAGAGAAAAAGAATGAGAGTATTATAAAACAGAACTATGAAACTTTTGCCAAAAGACATAAAATATGCATATAATCTTGGCTTTTATTTATATTGTAGAAAAAGCGTGCTCAATTCTCAACTTACATAACAGTATATACAGAGCTCTACGCACATAGATCTATAGCTGTATATAAGATTTATTCCACAAGCTACACTCTAAAAATCTAACTTCCAGTGCTTGCTACAATATTATTTACAGCAATGACACATGGAAGTAATTTAGAAAATCTGCTAATAGAAGAATTTACTAATGAAACTAATGAGTTTTACACAAATGTTCTGAAGCACTGGCATCACTTAGAAATGAAGAAGCAGGAAGCCTCACAAGGCACATCCTGAGGGGAAAGGAAAAACTGAAGAAAAAGGGCAAACTGCACAAGCAACACAGCCTAGGGCCGCGGTAAGGGACCTCCAAGTTGGATCATCCCGACTGGATGTGCCACTTATAAACCATGAGGAAGTCTTCTCAGTGCCTTGTGATTTTCTGATTTGTAAAATGAATGTCAAACTAGTACTTACCCGAGAAGCTGTTGGGAGGATCAGATGAGCCATTAAATGGGAAACAATTGTAATAATTTGTGACACAAGGTCGGCCTCACACAGTGCTTATGCATTTCCATGTAGAATGGCCTACTCCATGTTAAAATCCAGAGAGCAGAAGACCATGAACATGGACTCGACGCGAGGGCACAGGAAAAGGTCCACGCGCCCGGGCCAGTGTGATTCGGGGTAGTTTGGGGCCATAACTGGACTGCTTATTTTTGTGATTAAACATTAACGGTTTTGATGTACTGCTCAAGCATAATACTGCCCAGCTGTGCAGAAGGGCGGTGTAGCTGCATCCGTGGAGTTATAGACACGGAGAGAGGTTCATGCACACACCACTGGTGGGAACGAGCAGAGCAAGAGGGCGCTGTGTGCATCCTGTGTGTGGAAGGGTACAGTAAAAACCTAAACTGATTAGCCGACCTCCGCTTGCTTCTGTCATGTATATTTCGGTTAGAACCCTCTGTCAGGCACATGCATCACGCTGCTCAAAGAGGACAAAAGCTACTTCCTAGTGTAAAAGCAAAGTAACAGCGGGCCACACGCATGCAGTACCATGCGGGGAGATGCGCTGAGAGCCGCCGCGGGATGCCGGGGAGCGGAAGCACTGGTAGGACTGGGCTAAACTCACCCCCCGAATGCCTGGAGCGCCGAGAGTCCGGGAGCCTCCGAGCCGCCGCCACTTACTATCCGAGCCTTAAACGAAGAACAAGAACAGAACAACAGGTTTTAGGCTGCTACGGCTGCAGGGAGGTGATGGGGACACAGTCCAACTCACCACACACGTAACACCTAGGATGACAGATGCTAAGCAGGCTCAGCTCCAAGTCAAAGCTGTGTTTTGTGAGTGGAGTTTTCGAAATTAGCTCTCAGCATTGGCACAAAAGCACTGGCAGAGTCTGGGAAAAGACATCGTACTGGAAATACCGTTTGCCCTTCAGACTTGGTACATATGCGGGGAGGACATGAGTCAGTCAGGAAGGCCATGACTTAGCCGGACTTGGGAACGGATGCTGCGTTTGACAGTAGCAGACCTCTGGGAGGCAGGTGTAAGCTAAAGTCAGCGCGGCTGCAGGGGTGACCTGGTCAGAATGCAGCGCAGTGGGGACACTCACAGGGAACTAAAGGATGGAAAGCCGGACAACATGCACATCTCACAACTAAAACAGAGAAACCAAAACAGATCTAATGTGTCACAAACAAACATGTACGAGAGACAAGATCCCTCCGGAGGCAAGAAAAAGTATGATTTAAAACCTTTTCATCCACAGAACTGCTGTCTGAAAGAGAATCAGGAGAAGAAGGGATAATGTTAGATGGAGTGCTTTGCAAGAATATCATTCAACATACACATGAACACGGCGTTACACTGTTACATTGTCAAAAGCCATAAACAAATGCTTTCAAGGCTGAACCCCGAGGGAACAGGGTTGCACCGGCCTCATAATTTAAAGAACTGGAAAATGTGATCCAATACTTGAAAAGTAGACAAGGGTGATTTCTAGATCTAACAAAAGAAAATGAATCACAGTGGAAGAGTCAGAACTCCTGGGCTCTGGCATTTACCATGCCTTCTCCAGCAAGGGTGCCAACCTGTGGCCCCCTTTTTATGTTTTTTTAGATGTTATAATCCATACTTTTAAAAAGGAAGTTTTGTGTCTCAGATACATTAATAACCACATCTTATGTTTTATATGCGGCCCCAGGTAATCCCTCTTCACTCAGTGAGACCCAGGTGAGCTCTAAGGTTGGACACACCCGTGCCAACAGACAATTCTGACACGGATCTCAAATACTTCACCTCTTGACACTGGCGGCAAAACAGCTGTCAGTATTTGCAATGGTAAAAAGGATGATTACATAAATTAATATATAATTAATTATGTATTAACTCATATCAATAATTATATATTAATATGTTGATTATATATCAATTATATTACATAGTTAAACATATAATTAACTGATGGTTATATAAATTACTTTTATTGAAGAATTATGTATGGGCTCTCATATTATAATAGTTAAGAGTTAAATGTTAACTGAAGTGATTCCATTTTAAAACTAAGACTAACGGTGCCTTAAGTGACTTTATTAAACTTACAAAGCTGGGAAATGGCAGAGGTGAGGTGCAAATCGGGGCTCTGACCCTCCACATCATGCTTTGTATTTATTTTTCTATCTTGCAGTACCTAGTCTCGAACTCAGAGCCTCACACCTCCCAGGGAAGTGCTCTACATGAGCTACTTCCGTACCCCATTTGATGTTTTAAGAGGCAGTGTTTTAGGTGAACTGCACAAAACAGCAATTACAGGCTGGTCCACCATCTTGCAGTGAGTTTTAAGATAAATGACAGGGCCAATATCATTCAATTCTCCCGCTTGTGGGCCCAATAAACAGACAATGGGCTACTGTGTGGCTATGGTTACCAGTATCACTGTGGCCGCTTTCAAACTCAGGTTAAATCTGCTGTGTCCAGAGGACGAAGTACATTTTTGTCTCACACCAGATTACCGCTCTTAAGCGTACTCAGCTTTGCCTATCGGAAAAAGCTGGAAGGGCATTGCTGTGAAAGAAAGGTCGGCAGGACACAGAGGTGTGCTCAGCTCGGAGGTTAGGCCACTCCACTTTTAATACAGATTAATTCAGAAAGGTAAATTACCCAAGGTCATCTAGCTCAAGGGTGATCCCTTACTAATGAAATTTGAAGTGTTGGTTTCTTCCATTTGTAAAATACAGCTTAGTCACCATTACTAATATTTTTCTGCAGATTTTACAATATCTCAGGGTCATAGCTTCAAATATTAAAAATGCTAAATACAAAGTAATGAAGATGAATCTTACCTATGGGAATAAATATTTAAAATTGTCTAGCAAATAAAATTTTAAAAAATCATGTATCATTGTAAAGTTGATTTAAAGTTATGGAACAACAAATTTAACACATCAGTGGGTCAGAAAATATGCAGCTAAAACTTCAGCAGCTTCCAAAAAATCATTTGATGAAATTTCAAGCCTTATAAACAATTCTTAAAAGGCTCTTTACAATGGGATTGGAATGGGTCTTAAAGTTTACTATAATGTAAACAATCTTACATTCAGAGTCACCAATTTATGTGTGAAATAATAGCATATTCCCATCATCAAGACAAAACAAAAATCTCAGCTACTATCACTTAAAATTATTCCTGGAAATTCTGGACAATATTTGAAACATGAACAAAAATGAACAATGTAAATGTTAGAAATCAGGCTATAAAATTTTGCTATTACTTTCAATAATTATAATTTTATATTCAGAAAACAAAAATCACCTGAAATTATAAAGATTAATAAGAGTTAACAAAGCAACAATCTAGTCAATATATAAACAAAATAATAAAAATAAAAATGAAGTTATTTTCTGCATATTAATAATAACTAGTATGGAGAACAATGAGATAAAATCTAACTTTGTTCAGTGTTTGAATGGGTGATGTGCATTCCCTCCGCCTCTGAGAACAGTGATCTCAGGAAGAGGCCATCGGCTGTAGCTCAGGTGCTAACCTGGGAGACTCACTGCTGCATCCACTCCTCCACTCATCACTCATTTATTATCAGGAATCCTGCGTACTCACTCTCCCTTCTTTCTTATTACCATGAAATATTCTGTCAAGACTTTCTCATACAAATGTGATACATGAGTCCACCACTCCTCTTTGAGTGAACACAAGGAGACTGCATGGCCCAGGTTCAGCTGCCCCGCCACACCACCCCTCTTTCCAGTCTTAACCCTGGGCAGGTTCAAATTACCACAGCTCTGGCTCTGCTCTAAAACAACTGTTTCTCTTTCTGCATTTAGCTTGCTGCCTGTCACCTCCAAAGTGCACCTGAACCCCAACACGCTTTCCCAGGAACTTGGCATGCACCTGGGACTCCTGGCACTGGAATCCAGCCCGCACACCAGGCTTCCCCTTTGCAAGCCCAGCCTGGGACAGTTTCCTGTCTGTCATCCTCCTCTGATCCGAATCTCTCCTGTTAGCTGGTCCTTAGTCTCATTTTCCTAGCTCCTACCACACTCCTGAAAATACAGTCAATGACCAATGAGTGTTTCATGAGTATGGAATAAATGAGCAATAGACTATATCACTCTACGGAAATATCTAAAATGTGAATAAAGGTAAATATGATTTAATCCTCCTAATAGGTTTAATAGACAAATTCTAATGGCAGGTTTCTGTAACCGGAAATAATGCTAATTTGAAGTACAACGGCATTAGCATATGAATGAAAATATCTAAGACTTTCTAAAGAAAGCATTAAAAAGATTGTCTATAAAGTATTAAAAATATGTGATACTTAAAATGGTACAATCCTGGCAAAATAATAGACAAGCAGATGAGTGAAATATAAATAAAACTAGTAGAACTAGTATACCCTCACACTCAAGACCTCAATAACTAGGAAAAGATGTTTCTGTCACAACCAGTGTCAGTGAATGGTGCCTGACAGGGAGATAGTCACCTGTAGTATTCACTTCTGTTCTCAGATATGCCAAAGCTCCACATGTATTGAAGGGTTAGATGGAAAGTGACTAAAGGAAGAAAAATCAAGTAGAGAGAAAGGGATATTCATTAAAACTATGGAATGATAAAAGGTGCAAATTTAGAGGTGTTGGACGAATCACAGAGTAACGATGGTAATTAAGCGTGAAAAGTTTCCAATTTATTCAAACTGTTTAGCCATGATCGCAAAATTAACAAAGGAAAGGAGATATTCATTTTGATAGCGCTAAAAACAATCCCAAAACTTTGGAGGACAGCATAAATCATACTATTATGCATAGTTGATGAGAGAGAATCATAACAAAAGTTTTAGAACACTTTTAGGATGTTTTGACAAGGAAATTTTAATTTTGGACATTGACACCAAGGAAGTTCTATTGTAGGCTGAATTGAACCCACTCAAAATCCTTTTGTGGATGTCCTGCACACTGATGCCTCAGAATGTGGCCTTGTCTGGAAATTGAGTCTTTGCAGCTGTAATTAATTAAAATGAAGTAATGTTAGAGGACAGCAGGCCCCTCATCCCATGTGACTGTGCTCTTGTCTGAAGGGAAGTGGAGAGACAGATACTGCACAAAGAGTATCATGAGAAACTAGTCGTGAGGCCACAAACCCAGCTCACCCCGGACAAACTCTTCTGCTGCATGGAGAGGGAGCCGAACCCATCCCGACCAGGACTCTGACCAAGCACACTGCTGTTCTGTGGGAAGATTTCCCTGGAGAACCACACAGTTTTAAACATGGAAGAATAATACAAGGCAATGACCAGCATTGCTTCACTCCTTACAAGTACTGGAAAAACACATATGCTCCAGTACAGGATTACAGGTTAAAAATCATGTTACTACTGTGATACAAGAATGTCAATGCATTTACAGGCTGTATAACAATGTATGCAATATTTATGGTACCTGAAATAAATCTTAGGAAGCATTATTATGTTTATAGTATATTAAAAACTATCTAAATCAAAATATTTATACAGAAAAGCTTGCACATCACCCAGACTTCTAATAATCACTCACCTAGGACAAAAATATTCTAATGGATTGTTTAATTTTCAAGCTTTTATTTAGCAATAACATTATATTCTACAAATGGAAAAATGACACAATATTCTCTCCAAGAGCAACAGAATAATTATTCTTCTCAAGTGCATATGGAATGTTCTCTAAGACAAATATCAGGCCACAGAGAAAACATTAACAAAATTAATGATTGAAATCATACCAAATTTTTAATGAACATAATGTATGATATGGAATCATGAACAGGAAGAATTTTTGAAAGTCTAAAAAGTACGGAAACTAAAGAACACTCACTTGAACTACCAATAAGTCAAAGAAGAACTCAAAAGGCAAATAAAAATTATCACGAGACAGACAAAAGTAGAAGGATGACATGAAAAAACTTACAGGATATAGCAAGAGCAGTTCCAAGAGGAAAACTCATAGTGATAAATATCCATGTTAAGAAAAATGGAAGAGCATAAATAAACAATCTAATGGTACACTCAAAAGAACTAGAAAAATAAAAGGAACTAAGCCCAAAGTTAGAGGAAGGAAGGAAATAACAGAGAGCAGAAATATATGAAATAGAGACTAGAAAAAAAGAGAAAAGAGAGAGGAAACATAAAGATTCTCTGAAAAGATTAAACAAAATTCACAAATATTTAGCTAGATAGATTAATTTACAGAGAATGAGAGAGAGGCCTCAAATGAATAAAATTCTAAACA